AATGATCATGCAAAACCATTTTTTACTTCTCCATCATGTCTTCCAAGAGTTTTATGTTAGTATATTTTTATTCAGTTTTCATTGTTTTAATTGTTAAATCGAGTTATTGTAGATTTTTTTAAATTGATAATTGATAATGGTTACTTTTTTATACATGTTATGTTAATTGTTAATTTTTTTATTTAACTTTTAAATTTTTAAACCATATTAACATTTTCTGATTAATAAATATGTTAATTTGGATCAATCAGATTGAATTTACTTTTTTTGTTAGACATAATTTGTTAAATTAACTTTTAATATTTTAATTATACTTAATAATTTTTTGTTTAATTAAAAATCAGATGTGGACCAATTAAGTCAAGTTTTTCTGTCATAATCATACTTAACATTTTTTTATTTAATGAATATGCTGATGTGGACCAATCAGATCGAATTTTTTAATCACATGTGGACGCATTTAATGCACTATGCCATCAACTTTTATATATTATATGACGATTTCAGTATAAACATAATACCTTAACATTTAAAAAGGAAAAAAAAAGAAAAAAGAAGAAGCAATTACTTGTAAGACGACGAAGAACGAACAATGCAAACACTTTTTATAATCTTAAGTATATAACTCGCGTGTGTATTAATATTTTGTTTTAATTTTATAGCTACTATCTTTAAAATTATTAAAAATATAATATATTTATAGAAATTTTCATTTATATAAGAGAACTTAATATATAATATGTAATTTATCCTATTTTTATTTATCAATTTTAAAAAACTATTATGTAAAATAATAACAATGACACCTATCGAATTATCCAACTTTGACGTACATATATATGTGATTTAGAGAAATATTTTATTGCTAAGATTTTGGTATTATTTTCTGTTTTCCATAGAATTTATATAGTTCTTTTTTTTCTTGAAGGTTTATGTATTCAAATATTTAGTTTTTATTGAAAGTCTTGTTGATGTTGTATACCACTACATATATAATTCATGATTCATGTTGATTCGCATTAAACTTTGTTAGGAAGATGTAATGATCATGCAAAACCATTTTTTCCTTCTCCACCATGTCTTCAAAGAGTTTTATGTTATATATAAATTCAGTTTCATTGTTTTAATTGTTAAATCGAGTTGTTGTAGATTTTTTTAAATTGATAATTGATAATGCTTACTTTTTTATATATATGTATTGTTAATTGTAAATTTTTTTATTTAGTTTTTATAATTTTAAATCAAATTAACATTTTCTGATTTAATAAATATGTTGATTTGGATCAATGAGATTAAATTTACTTGTTTTATTGGATATAATTTGATAAATTAACTTTTAATGTTTTAATTATACTTATTTTTGAATTGATTTAAAAGCTGATGTGAACCAATTAAATCTAGTTTTTTCGTCCTAATCATACTTAATATTTTTTTATTTAATGAATATATTGATGTGGACCAATCAGATCGAGTTTCTTAATCTCATGTGGATGCCCTCAATGCACTATGCCATCAACTTTTATATATTATACTAGGTATATAACTCGCGCTATGCGCGAATCTTTATTAATATTTTGGTTTATTTTTTTAGCTACTATCTTTAAAATTATTAATGATATATATTTCTAGAAATTTTCATTTATATAAGAGAATTTAATATATAATGTGCAATTTATCCTATTTTTATTTATAAATTTTCAAAATTTATTAGGTAAAATAATAACAATGACACCTATCGAATTATCCAACTTTGACGTACATATACATTTGATTTAGAGAAATATAATCTTGCTAAGATTTTGGTATTATTTTCTATTCATAGAATTTCTAAAGTTCTTTTTTTTTGAAGGTTTATATGTTCAAATATTTAGTTTTTCTATTGATAGTCTTACTGATGTTGTGTTCCATTGTATATATAATCCATTATTCATGTTGATTCACATTTAATTTTGTTAGGAAGCTGTAGTGATCATGCAAAACCATTTTCTCCTTCTCCATCATGTCTTCCAAGAGTTTTATGTTATATTTTTATTCAGTTTTTATTGTTTTAACTGTTAAATCGAGTTGTTGTAGATTTTTTTAAATTAATAATTGATAATTGTTACTTTTTTATACATGTATTTGTTAATTTTTTATTTAACTTTTAAATTTTTAAAACATATTAACATTTTCTGATTTAATAAATATGTTGATTTGGATCAATCAGATTGAATTTACTTTTATTTTTGGACATAATTTTTTAAATTAACTTTTAATGTTTTAATTATACTTAATAATTTTTGTTTTGATTTAAAAGCTGATGTGAACCAATTAAATCAAGTTTTTCTGTCATAATCATACTTAACACTTTTATTTATTTAATGAATATGCTGATGTGGACCAATCAGATCGAGTTTTTTAAATCTCATGTGGACGCTCTCAATGCATTATGCCATCAACTTTTATATATTATACTAGGCTTATAACTCGCGCTACGTGCGAATCTGTATTAATAATTTGATTTAGTTCTTTTTTTGGCTACTATCTTTTAAATTATCAAAACTATAATATATTTGTAGAAATTTTTATTTATATAAGAGAATTTAATAAATAATGTGTAATTTTCTCCTATTTTCATTTATAAGATTGTAAAAAATATTAGGTAGAATAATTCTAATGCACCTATCGAATTATCCAACTTTGACGTACCTATACATTTGATTTAGAAAAAGATTTTCTTGCTAAGATTTTGGTATTTTTTCTGTTTTCTATTGAATTTCTATAGTTCTTTTTTTAAAAGGTTTATGTGTTCAAATATTTAGTTTTTTATTGAAAGTCTTATTAATGTTGTGTACCACTGCATATATAATCCATGATTTATGTTGATTCACATTTAATTTTGTTAGGAAGCTGCAATGATCATGCAAAATCATTTATTCCTTCTCCATCATGTTTTCTAAGAGTTTTAGCTTATATTTTTATTCAGTTTTCATAGATATCTATTTTTTTACATTCTAATATTTGATAATTTTAGTTTTGTAACTTGTGGAATCGGTGGTGTGGAGTCTTTGCATTATTTTTTTACTGTTTTTATCTTTTGTTTTTATCTTTTGTACCTTAGACCACATTGTTATTAACATATATATTTTTAATTAATCTCTTTGTTATTGATTTTCCAAATAGGTAGCATATATCAATTTAATCTCTTTAAAATTTATTTTTTACATTAATTTTTATTTTAATTATAATGCTATTTCGACATGCTATAACTGGGTATTCTAAATTTTGTGTGGACTTCTCTCAAAATCTTATACCATCATTTATTTTTTTTTAGTTAGTTTGTTTATGATCATTTTCCAAAATATTAGTCCAAATATCAAGCTAGATTTTCTTTATACAACTTTTTCTTTTGATAATTTACCTCTCTTGATATTTATATATATTTTATTTTAATACATAATTATTTTTAAAATATTGATATTTTTGAAGACATAAATTTATTTTTTTGTTTTTTGTTAGTTAAATATTTTTATATTGATTTCATAAGTAGTTAGTCTGATATCAAGTCAATTTCTTTTTATGTGATTTTTTAAAATTTAGCATTTTGTATAACTTAATTTTTATTTTATTTTTCTTTGTTAATTAATTTCTTAATATCGATTTCTTAAATCATTAGCTTAAATATTTAACTTCATTCTGTTAGTAAAGTTTTTTAGTATTGCTTAAGTTTTTGTATTTTGTTTATATTGATTTTGTTAAATAAAAATAGCATAAATATCAAGTTAATGTCCTCTTTTTTTTGTTAATTTAACTTTTTGATATGAATTTTCATTTTAATTGTATTGACAGGTTGCAAAAAATAATTTGATATTTTCATATTTGATATTTTCTAAGAGATAGGTTATCAAAATTTTTAGAAAATAATTTTATTTAACAAAATAAGTTTTTGCGAAAAATAATTTCATATTTGATATTTTCTAAGAGATAGGTTATCAAATTTTTTTTGAACATGGCAATATAATATAATTTACAATATAGTAAATCCAAGTTTATAATATTGATATTTTCCTTTCCATTAAATGAACTTTTTTAAGTTTATTACTTATATTTGTATCAAATTTTCCTTTTTACTGTATTGATGATGTTGATATATACTATTTTCGATATTAACATATTGATAAACAGTTTTTCCTTTCCATTATTAAAAAATATATTACTATTGATATTTTCCTTTATTAATATTATAACTAATTAATTTTGTAGATAGATAATTAATTATCAATGCTGATGTGTACCAATAGAATTGAATTTTTAAATCATATGTGGACACCTTTAAAGGCATTTAGCATCAACTTTTATTAGTAATAGATGAATGGTATGCAGCTTTTTCACGTTTTGGAAACTTGATTCTGTTATTTTTTACCATTCATGTTATTCATCACGTTTTCACGTTTTTTTTATGTTTTTGAAATGTGATTCTGCTAGCATGTTAAAAATATAACTAAAAAAAACAAAACGTGATTAATATACTAAAAGTAGCTTTTCAGCGTTTCACAATTATTCAGCTAAAATATTATTCAGTTCAGTTTATTCCGCTAGTAATTTTTCAGTTATTCTGCTATTTTGTTATTTATCTGACATACCAGTCAGACCCATAATATCTTAACATTTAAAAAGGAAAAAAAAGAAAAAGAAGAAGCAATTACTTGTAAGACGACGAAAAAGGAACAATGCAAACACTTTTATAATCTTAAGTAACTCTTTTTACGTCTTAATTCACACTAATTTCTAGTTAGGTCTTAATCCACTCTAGTTTTTCTTTTCTTCCAGAAATCTCAAAGCCAAACGCTTTTGTCAAGCTTTGTTTAACCAAACGCTTTTGTCAAGCTTTGTTTAACCAAACGCTTTTGTCAAGCTTTGTTTAAGACATCATAGCACCACAATGTTTTTCATGATAGTCTAATAATATGCAAGTTTATAAGTTCTATGTCTCTTAGTTCTAGTTTCTTTACATAAATCATTACAAATTGTTGCAATACCTGTGGCCAAAAAAATAATAGTTGCAATACGTTAATCTTATATTTCTACTAATTTAATTCTCAACGGTGGCAGGTTAAAATGGACCGGGCTAGAACAGGCGAAAAAGCCTATAATAGCATCCCCACAAACAAGTACAGAGGTTCAGTAATAAGGAGAAAGAACTAAGGAAAAAAGCTAACTAAACAACAATCATCAAGTGAATCAAAACAAGAGATCATTAGAGATATCACAAGAAGCTGCTGGATTCAGTCTTTTCATGAGACTAAAACTGAGTGATTTGTTGGATTTTGCGAGCCTGAAAAAATTTGCAACGCCCTTTGCCGCTCGATTCCAATTCTTCACTCCTACTCTCACAAGTTGTAAACCCAAATCTGCTTAGCTTCGCTTGCCTCTTGCTGCTATTTCCTTTACCACTCTCCTCGGCTTCATCTGATTCCCTGCTCAAAGTGCACAAAACATCAAATTCAACAGGAGAAAGATTCTCATTTTGCCATAGATTGAGATAAATCAAAGATTCAAATTCAATAGAGCATAGTAGCATCAAGAAGAAAAATAACCATGCAACTTCAACCTCTCCCTTCAAATGTGTAGTGCAAGTTCCCCAACTGAAACGGACCAGTGAAGGGAATCCAAACACAGAAGTCTTGTGTTGCTCTAACCATGCCTTTGTCTCAGGATCTAAATTGCATTTACAAAAACATATTAGTGTACAAACAAAACACTCGCTCTAAAAGCATAAACGATGCGAGGAACAAACAGTATACCTCCTGGATATCCAGAACCAAACTTTCTATTTATATCTACTCCGGTTTCCTCTATCAACCATCCTCTCAACGCTCTGTCTCTTGTCACCTGAACAGTTAATATATGCTTAGTGACTTCTAAGCTAATGAAAAGCTTCTAGATAGATAGTGAGAAATGAAAATCCATAACATAGTACCTTGGCAACAATACTTGCCCCACTAACTACAGGATATAGACTATCAGCTTTCTTCGAAACGACAAACTTGATCGAAGAAAACCTCTCACACAATTTTATCCTGTACTTCTCTGGATCTCCCACGGTATCTAGATAAACCTGCAAAGGCAATTTAGAGAGCTCAAAAAACCTAATCTCTCATAATTATGATGCATATGTTTCCATCGAAAGCTAATCAATCACCTCTGTCAGAAGAACTCCCATGTCTAGAACCTGTTTGATGAGACCCATTGCAGAGTTATGTGAGATGTCGTTTAAATTAATCTTGTTTCTGTAGAAAAACAAACCAAAGCTACATGAAAAAAGAACCATTTAAAGCCATTTCCAATTTGTTAGCGTCAAAGCATTATACTATTTACTAACTTTGCGAGCATTTTAGCAGAGAGTTCCCTTGGACCAATGACATCAACAGCCCATCCAAGTGACTTGTCAAGCTTTAAATTCTCATATAACTCTTCTCTCTTCTCCTCTTTTAGTGTCTTTGAATCTGCAGGCATAGCAACAAAAGGCTTCAGGGGAACCAAATAGAGGCAAGAGACTATAAAATGTGATAACTTATCCCCTCCCAAATTGGAATCACATAACAACTAAAAGTTAGAAATTTGTTGATGGGTTTTTGGCTACTCAATGCATCTCGAAACCCCCCCCCCCCCCCCCCCCCCCCCCCCCCCCCCCCCAAAGTCTCAATTTTTCAACATAAAAGAATGTAATTGACCTGCAAAATGGAGAGAAGCTAGGGAAGACTGGTAGGAAATGGGACAGTACAAGCATCCATACACCATTGGTCCTGTTTGGTCAACAAACTCGAATCAGTTTCTCTTCCCCACACTCATCAAATAAGAAAGAGGGAAGAAGAAGAAGAAAACCTAGAACAGGACCCCTCCCGGCTTCGTCGATTCCCATGATACAAGGCTGAGATCCCCATTCTGGCGTCAGAGATTCCGATTCCATTAATTTTCGAGTTCCTTTCGATACGCAGACGAAAATGGGGTTTTAGTTCCCGCCTAATTCGAGAAAGTGCCGGATATTCCCGGCGAGCGATATCGATGGGGAAAGATGAACGAGCGTGACGGTTTATACTGATGTATCTGTAAACGAAGTGTGCAAAGGAAAAATAGAGAGGTAAACGTCGCAATTTTGATTAAAGTTGGTATATAAATGTTTGATTTTGTAGTGCAATAAAAAAAACTAAAAATTTGAGAGAAAATACTTTTGACTTCAAAGAATAATGATTCATCCAACTAGCATGAGTTATAACTTACAACTGAGTTGAATCGAGTAGTTTTAATTTGTTATTAATAAAGTTTCTTATTGAATTTGTATGGATTTTGGAGAAATTTGTTCCATCCAAAATGAAAACTTGTATCACCGGCGGTTAATGCTTCCTTCTCTCTACACACGAATCAACAAATTTGCTGAAAAATTGAAATTCGAAATCAATAAAAATCCTTTTTTTTGTCTATTTAAAAAAAATAAAAGTAATTTAGCTTTGATTCTTTGATTCTTCTCTTTGCAAACTGATGCACCATTCATAACGCGCCATCTAATCAAAAGTACACGTGGTGTGTTATCATTTGCTACTTGAACGTAAGCCTGCGTGTCAACACAAACTTCAAAACTTAATGAACTATTGTAGAAGACGACCCTCTCATAAGCCGAGGATCGAAATCGGCAAGTTAACTAATTCGGCTTCCATCTACTGTCTCCGGCGAGATCTCAATTTGATCCTTCACGGTGGCGTCGACGTCGACGTCCGGGCAACAACAAGCTCTCTCGAGAAGAAAGCCGCAATCATCATTGCCTTCATCATCTTCTCCTCCTTCTTCCTCAGCTTCGCCTGTACGAGCTCCTGCGGCGAGGAAAGCAACGCCTGAATTTCCCTTTTGGCAGCAGAACTGGTTTATCGGTCTGCTTTTTGTGATGGCTTTGGGGTTTTTCTGTCTTGCTCTGTTCCTTTACCTAAGCCTTGATCCGGATTCCGGCTACACGTCTGCTTCCGCCGCCGCCTCCGGTGAAGGTGTCGAGGTGTGTTTAATTGCTTTTAGGAATTGATAATTCGTTAGATTGCGACGAATGTTGATTTGTGTAGACATTGTACCGATTTTGGTTTGGATTCGTGCACATACCAAAATCACGACCTATGTTTCTGAAATTCGAATTGTTTTTGCTTTAAATTGGAATTGAGCTTTGATCAGATACTGGATATTTAACTTCAATTTCTCGTTCTGATAAAGCAGATCACCTATGGTAGTGCGATTAAGCTAATGCACGAGAAAACTAAATTCCGATTGCATTCTCACGATGTGCCGTACGGATCCGGCAGTGGTCAGCAATCGGTTACTGGGTTTCCAGGCGTCGTTGATTCCAACAGCTACTGGGTACTTTCTTTTTCGTATTGCCTTATGATTCTCAGTGTTTACAGACGATTCCATAGGATCACGTTTTGATAAGATTGTAGCAAGTAAAAGCAAAAGTCTTTGGATGTTAGAACAAAACATAAACCTGCATTTGTTAGCGTATAGGTCTTTTTTCCAGAACCAAAGAAACTCTTGCACATGCTCCTATATGCTGTTCATCTCACACTCCAAATCCAATGTGTTTGGCTCTGGTTTAAATAATGAATTCTCTAGTAACCCATCTGTTAAATTTGAAGCCATGGTTGGGTTTCTTGTATTATCAAGTGTTGGAATGAGTTATGGTGGAGTAATTGAGCTGATGCATGATCTTGTAACGGATATGTTTTCCTTTTGACAGATTGTTAAACCTGTGCCTGGGACATCACCAAAGCAAGGTGATGCGGTCAAGAATGGAGCAACCATTAGATTGCAGCACATGAAGACCAGAAAGTGGCTCCACAGTCACCTACATGCATCCCCTATCTCAGGGAACTTAGAGGTTAGTATCTTCTTCAATTTGAAGCAAGTCCTACATCTTTTTTGTATTCCCTGATCCGCTAAGCTTGGATGTGAAAGATCTATGTGTAGTTTTAAACAATCAGACTAGAGAGACTGGAATAGTAGTAAATACGATCTTTAATAGCGGGTCTATGGGAACTTTGAAGTACTACGCCGGTTTCTTGTTGCTAAACCAATTCCTCGGTGCAGGTTAGCTGCTTTGGAGATGATTCAAACTCTGATACTGGAGATCACTGGAAGTAATAATCCTTGAAACCAATTTGATATTCATCTAAATATTAGTCTAATCACATCCACCTGAAAACTCACAGACCTTACCATCTTCTCATAGGCTTATAATCGAAGGGAGCGGGAAGACATGGAAACAGGACCAAAGAGTCAGGCTTCAACACATAGACACTAGTGGCTACCTCCATAGCCATGACAAGAAGTACCAACGTATAGCCGGTGGTCAGCAAGAGGTAATCATAATTTCTCATTCTAAATCTGATCTCAAAGATTATTGCAATGTCTTGAAAACTCATATGCTTAGATAGAGATTCAACAAGATTCGGGTTTTTTGTTTCGGGGTGTTTAGGTCTGTGGAATCCGGGAGAAGCGTGCGGATAATGTTTGGTTAGCAGCAGAAGGAGTTTACCTTCCTCTTAATGAGAGCAGCAAGTAAGGTGAAGTTGTGTGTTTAACTTCATTTGGAGGACTTTGAGTCTCTCATCTTTTTACTCTCTAAACAAGAAAATAGAGATTTATATTTGCTAAATTTCAGTAGCACAAATATATATTGTTTTAGTAGATATTTTGCAGTTAATCATGTTTTGCTTTCGTATGAAGAATTTGATTATCATGTGTTTGTGATTTGAAAACTCGTCTCAAACAGTAGTACATCGCCTGTAGTCGACGAAAAGATTATCAAAGAATAAAAAGTACGAAGAGTTGCTTATAATCATCGGTTCTTAGTAACAGGGTCTATAATAACGATCAATTAATCAACCGGGTCTATAATAACGATCAATTAATCAACAGGGTCTAGAATTAGGAGGTGTTATTGATTCTTGTATTTAAATGGATTTGAGAATCCAAACCAAATTTAGTGTTATTGGTTCTTGTATTTTAAAATATATATTGAAATATAGTGTTATTAGTTCTATGATTTTAAAATTCATAATGAAATACAGTGTTATTGGTTATATCATTTTAAAATCTAAATATTATAAAAATTTGAGTTTTAAATGAATTTGAATAGATTTGAAAAGATTTCTATGACTAAAATATAAAAACTCAAATACAAAGTCTAACTTTGGTATTTGAATGGATTTGATTTTTTTTCATTTTGCTGATTTTTAAATTAATAAATTTATCAAATCCAAAAGAAAATTTCTAAATCTATCAAAATATAAGAACCAATAATTCCTACTTAGCCTGGTCTGACTTAATTTTATCACAGCCGTAACGTTCTCCATGAAAGGGAATCTCTCTTATTCTCTTCTAAATTTGAAGCTTCCTCACAAGACAGAGTCTTTCTGAAGCAACTCCTAAACTATTTCTTGATGTTTGTAAAATAAGAGAACATGTAAATAACGCAAGTTGTAAATGGTGTTAAGTGATTTGCTGAGGCGAGACGTTAAGTTTCTTGAAAGTTATGTATATATATATATTATATATATCAGCTGTCTTGGTGTAGAAATTGAGGTTGTTACAGAAGTTTCATCACATGTTTTTGTTTCAACATAATAATAATCCCTAACAGCATTTTGATATTCATCTAATATCCCCCTGCCCCTTCGATGTTCAATCTAAAAATGAAATAAGGACATGCTAATACTAAAAAAAAATGTAAATAGGAAGTCAAACATTTTAAAGTTTTCTTTTGGCAAAAACAAACATTTTTAAGTTGCTACATCTTATATGAAACATATTCAGAAAGAAAAAGAACTGATGGTTTAAATTTATGCCCTATCACTATGTTGCTTCTTCGAATGTAGCAAATACTTTGAGACTTCATTATATAAATAGAAGATCAGACGTTCATTAGTTAATCAAACGACATTAACAAATCCAAAAACTGAAAAAGAAGAGAAATACAAGAACCTTACGCCTTGGCCTTTTATCTTGCCTGATCTAAACCTTACTGGATTTGAAGCAAACTTGGAACATAACTGTAAATTTTTGCTGTCCCATATTTCTCTATAATTTCTCGTGCTCCAAATTGAAATTCTCTGTATACACCGCACTCTCCAATAACACAAACCATGTTGCTCATGTTATAATTGTATTGACCGCCGCTATCACAGCACACAACCACTTTCTTCTCCTCGTCGATGAAGAAACTTGCGCAAGACGAAAACTTATGACGGATTGACCATTTGGATAAATCTATAGCTAAAAACTTTCTCCACGACAAGGTTATAGTCTGATCAATCATATCATTGGTCGTCACCCATATCTCCATCTCGAATGTATCGTACTGACGTAACAGTGAGAGTTTCTCATCTCCAACAGTTGAAATAGAGACATTAGCACCATAAGAAAACTTTTGAAACGGAAGACGCAGACGTCCAAGTCTCTCTGCTTTGAATTCGAAACTTAGTAGACAATCACCGTCAGCAAGCCAATAAGTATTTCCCTTTAAAGACACACCACGAGATACTATCAAGAATTTGGCAGTTACCTCAAGAAACCTCCAAGAACCAGAGCTAAAATCATAGATTTCAAACTCAACAACTGGAGGATGGTCTGTGCCGTGATTGCTACGGTACCTCAAGATTTTGTAGCTACGACAAGATTTGTTGTTTTCGTATCCGAGAGCATACATAGAGTATTTGTAGTAACGGTTGCTAGATATGATGTACCTTGATTCACCAGTACAAGGATTCCAAACCACAAGTCTATCTTTTGTGGTGGTGGATAACAATAAACCGCCGCAGTGAAATACACAATGTATATCGACTTGTTCTGATGAAGAATTAGAATCTTTTAGACTAAGTTCCTTAAATCCTATAAATGGAGCAGAAATGTTGTTGTTTTGATCAATTCCATGGAGATTGAGGCTAGATGAAAAAACCTTATGTTGGTCCAACATGAGAACCGAAAACTGCTCTGGTGCGTTAACAAAGTGCTTCTTGGTGAATCTCTGGTCTTTGAATAAGTTGTTCCATCTTTGGCAAGTACATCGCCATCGGCTCAGTGTAGTCGTCGGAACTCTAGAGAGTATTTCCTCTATCAGTTCCGATGGAAGAAGATAGGACATAGTTGTCTCTCTTATGATCTTCGGAAGAGAAACGAAAGACGACGAAGACTTTAGTTGGGAATTAGGGTTTTGACTTTCAGTTTTGCCATCTTATTTTAAAAAATGATATTTGCACTTTTTTGTCGGCTCTTTTTTTTTTTTCAGCTAAAAAATACTTATTAAATTAAAACGTACATTTTTCAATCTCCGAAGCAAGAAAATATTATTTAAATAAAATTTTTGTATTTTTTTTTCAATAATTTAATAATGAATTAAATCAGATAGATCGAATCCTCAATTTTTTTCAAAACATTTGATATCTACGGTTTTGGATAAGACTATATATCCTGTGGCAACTACAAGATTTTGAGGATTAATAAAGACAAATTATCATCAGAGATTGAGATATATGAGTTTAATTCTAAACTCTAGAGAAGTGTTGATGCTAAGCTCCAATGGTATGCACTGCGACAGTATGAATGGAAATACGAACACATACTGGATTGTTGAAAAGAAGATAGTTAACTCTGAAATCAAATTCTTCATCCAAAGTTTTGATTTTTCCACCGAAATATTCAAGCCCATAAGTTGTGTTCCAGAGAGAACTGAATGTTCTCTTAGTCATGATCATAGGGTACATATAGGCTTTCTTTATTACATCAATATAAACTTGTGAAGATGGAGGTGTGGGTTACAAGCAAGCTGCGCGATGAGGTTGTCTCGTGGAGCAAGTATTTCACTGTTACTCATGGTCTCTCATATATCTTACACTCAATATTCCACTCCAGTTGGGACATACTTCATCAACAAGACCAATAAGATCATGTTATGAAACAGTGTGAATAGTGGACATGTAGAGGGTACAGATCTAACAAAGAATAGATGGTCGAGATGAAATGTATCGAGTCGAAGGCGTTTATAAGAAAGAAGAAAGAGAAAATACATTTTTATCCGAAATCTGTTGTAACAAACTACATCTTCTTCAATCTCGTTTTCTCTGAAATTGTTAGGAATTCTTTCTTCCATTTTGGATTTCTAAGGTTTGTGGATTTGTGTTTAAGAACACCGGATTCAATTTGGTTATAATACAAGTTTTAATCAAAGTATCATTTCTTTCGTACCAAAGGTATCAGACGAAGGACGTTTCTCGGAGAAATGGCGGCGGAAACTTGTTCTCAGCCGATGATGAGCAACAGCGATAGCTCGATTAGCTCGCGATTGGACCAGATTATTCTTCGGCAACAAACATTGGAGTCTCGGGTAACAGATCAAAGTGCAACAATCAACAAACGGAACGCAACAATAACTAAAACAATGGCTGACCTGTTCGAGGTGATTCAGATAATAACGGTGCAACGCCTTAATTCCCCGGCTCTGGTTCAATCAAACCCGGCGAACAATCACGAACACGGACAAATTTCGGGATCCGGTAACCCTGTGAACTATGCTGGAATAACTAGGCTAGCTAAGCTAGACTTTTCGAGGTTTAGTGGCGCTGGGTTAAAGAATTGGCTCTTAAAAGTAGAACAATTCTTTAAAAACAATCATACTCTGGATGATATGCGGGTAGTGATAGTTTTGATCCACTTGGATGATATTGCTGCAACTTGACATCAGTCTTTGGTTCAGGATGAGATCGACAATCTGAATTTACAAGACTGGAATCAATACAAGTTGATGCTTAAGGAAAGGTTTGATGATGTTTGGGATGATCCGATAGCATAGTAAAAAAGTTACGAGAGACTGAAGGTATTGTTGATTACCACAACAAGTTCGAGTTGATACGTACAAGAGTGAAACTTTCCGAGGAGTACTTGGTCAGTAACTATTTGGCTGGTCTACGCGTAGATACTCAAATGCACATCCGTATGTTTCAACCACAGACAGTGCGCCAATGTTTGATGCTGGGGAGACTATACGAGACAGCACATCCTCCAAAATATTCTGCATATGCGTGGTCTACAACAAAGTCTGGTCAAACTGGAAAAGGAATCTTGACAACTCCAACGGAATAAGAGACTAAGTGGCATAAACCACTAGTGAATGAACAAAAGAGTGATCAGGAGAAACAGCCCAAAGTGTTCTTATCCTCGGAGGAGATGAATGACAGAAGGTCTAAGTGCTTATGCTAATATTGTGATGAGAAGTATACACCCGGTCACTACAAGATTCATAAGAAGACTCAACTCTACGTCTTAGAGTTAGACGATGAGACAGATAGTGAACTTGTGGAAGGCAAGGATGATATGGAAGCAACTGCGGGTGAAATTACACAAATCTCTATAAGTGCAATATCTGGGGTTGCTGATTTCAATGCTATGCGTGTCAGAGGAGTTCATAAGAAACGCTCCTTGTTCATGCTGGTAGATTCAGGGTCCACCCATAATTTCACTGACACGGAAATGACTGAGAAATTGGGTTGTCCACTACGTTCGCCAGGT